ATTCTTCCGTTTCTTTACACAGGTCAAACTGTACAGCAACACCGCTGAGTGTCAGCTTTTCTAGAAATTCAGCACAAAAAACCCACTTTGTTGAAAATCCTAATTCCTGTACAGTATGTGTACTGCTTCTCTATGGAAACAGTACCGTGTTTATGTGTAGCTCTACAGTCAGTTAATTTACTATAACTGTACTGACCCACTGCAATTCATGACGACCAAAGCCAAAACAATGTGCCTACTTTATATTCACATGAGATAGCAAGTGCATTCTTTGCCAGGACCTCTCTATCACATACACCGAGTTTTCTGCATACAACTTTCTGCTCACAGGCAAATCACAGCACAGAGTACAGCCCACACTTATGGAAAGCACAAACTGGCTGGCAGTACTCGCTGCCAAACAGACTCAGGCCATGCAGTTACAAGCTGACGACACAGAAGGACAATCAGACATTCAGCCACTCATAGATCATAATGAGGGCAAGTACAAAACTGCATCATGACACAACAGCCATTTACAATAATTCCCAAACTTCAAAAGCTCTGCTACCCGTCAAGCTTAATTTCTTCTGAGCATATGAACATTTCCTATTTGAAATTGAATCTGGAACACTTTGCGATACAAATTAAATCACACATTGCTGGGGTACGTGACTGTAACTCCTTTTATTACATTCTGTGTAATACCAGTCAACCACCTGAGATGTCTTTCGACTGCACTAGAGCAATGTCATCTTCCTTTAAAATGCTCAAACAGCAGTCATGCCATCTCTTGAAACTAATGTAGCTGTTTAATTAACAAATATGGCCTGGGTGGTTGGTTACTGGGCTTTCTTTCAATGGGATTCCAATGTAATTTAGTAGAATCAATAAGCAAAAACCGTATATTCTCTTTTGCGTTTGTTTAATAACTTATTTTTGAATCATATACACTGGATACTATTAGTTTAAGGAAAGGAGGTAAGAAGAAGAAGTAAAAATAATGTTTTTACGTATTTATCAACAAAAATAAGCCTTTCTTATTCAGCAGAAGCAATCACATTCTCTGCACAGCTAGGTGACTAAATCTGCTATGTGTGAATGGAATTCTAAAGAGAGCAGTCAACTGCAGTATTCAGCCCAACTATAGTGATGAACTGGTTAAGCTGTCTTCTTCATGGGCTTTCGCTTTGTTTTGTCCCTGCATTGTGATGGCTTTTGATGCCTTAATTTGAAATAATTTAATCTGATGGACTAAAATTTGTCAAAACAGCATCTCATTAAATACTGTCTGTGCACTCATTTTCTTTTGTATATGCGCGGCAGACAAACAGCAACCTGGGGGATGTGAGGGTACTAATGAATGAAACCTTTGTTAGGGGTTTAAAAATGTCTGAACCAACCACTTGCCAAAAAAAGATTCTCAAGTATCTCAGTTTGTTACCCGAATGAACAGACAAAGATGCGCACGTTCCAGAGTGGAAGGCAGGAAGCTTGAACTCAGTCAAATTGAATTGTCTTTAGTTGAGATCATTCCTGTAGTTATTAACTTATTTGTAAACAGAGACTTAATTAATTATTTTAAAGAGATAAGGCATCAGTGATGGGAATTCATTTCCCACACAGAGCAGCCTGCATTTTCTGTAAACATCATAATGGCACTATTTTGGTCTTTGGACAGTTTTATGCCAGTCATCCTTTCCTCTAGTCACTACTGACTGTTCACTTGTCCTTTATCTGTTCATTTACCAGTAGGATTCACTGTTAGTACAGAAGATACATTTTGCTTCCGAACTCAGAAGGATTCTGTGATTCTGCACTCAGACTGAACATTCCTCCTAAATTTAATTTTGATGCTGTTTGCATGACCAGCACATGGAAACTGAATGATAAACATTTATATTTCAGGGTTTAAAGTGCAGTTTTAATTGTTTGTTTCATTGCTTTAAGTAATTTTGAAACCAACCTTTAAAAGGGATTTAATCCACTGGATTGAAATAATGAATGTAGGATGATGATTGAATAAACTCCGCTCATTGATTGAGTCTGTTTTGTCTATAGAGAATCTATAGACTTTCTTTGCCTATATAGTTTATTGCCCTAACTCTCTATTACATGCTACTAAAACCCTTTAATGGAAGATGGGGGTATTTGTTTACTTTCTATTCATACTGTATGTGAACCAGTTGAGTGTATTATTACTTTTGGCATACTGATCTCATTTTTTGTCTCTTGTGCTCTAGTACAGGCAAATCATTACACTCAGATACAGTGAGGCTTCACTAATCGTTTGCTAGAATTCTGTTAAAAAGGCAAACAAGTTGAGAGGAAAGCTTTTATCTTTTTCACTTTAGTGTTGTAATATTCATTTGAAAAGCCGTGTCAGCACGCAGACTGCAAAGGAACAAGTCGAGGTTAATTCCAACACCATTCGAGGGAAAAAAAACAGCATTTTGGCTGCTCTGAGACAGCCCTTGGAAATAAAGACCTGCCAAACATTTGATGCCCCAGAGCACCATTGCAAGCGGTAATAAAATTTGTTAAATTTTGATGTAACTTAGTGTTCTCCAACATCAACTGGAGATCTTATTTATTTTTTCTGGGATTTTTCCCTATTTCTGATTGAAGGCCTTTTTATCATCAAAAGAAATGTTTACACATACCTGTCTTTTGGTGTCACTGAGAGCAATACTAATATGAATGAGATGTCAAACCTTATCTGTCCCATTATTTATCACTCGTTTCTAATAAATCCTGTTTGCTCATGCTGAATCAAGTTACTCATACTTATGTTTTGGGTCAACCTGTGAGCCCTTTGGTAAAAAGTTTAGTAACTTCATACATAAACCAATACATTAATAGTGTGTTGTTGTCAATAATAAAGGTACTGTATCACTCTTCATACAGTAGCTGTCTCTGGAGTTTATACCATAAAACCCAGGGGACTTCCTTCTTCCGACTGTTTCAGGGAAATTCAGGCACCCAGAGAAGTGGACATTTGTCACTGTCAAAAGAAATGTCACAGATATACAGTATAATCCATTTTCTAACTGCTTCTTCCAGTTCAGGGTTGCATGGGAGCCAAGGTCTGTCCGGGCAATAGATGAGATAACACTGAAACAGATAAACCTAAAGTGTTCTCTCTGTAAAGATTTGTTAAAGTCTCCATTTCTTTTATCCAGTTGATCTCTATGAATTGTAAATACAATTTATTCATTCAAATAACTTTATTGTCCATCCAAAAGGTTGGAAATTTTTGTCCTTAGTACGACCATAAAAACAAATAATACTCAACATAAGTGATATAAAGTAAATGCATGGTAAAAACAATGGCCCTAGCCATACAACAATAAATATACACATATCTCACTCTGCGCATATTACACTATCATTATCACACTATCCAACAGCTTCATACAGGTAACAATCACTTACTGTGGGTTTTTGATTCGATTCTGGATTGTATCTCTTTTTGTGTGGAGTTTGAATGCTCTCCCCCATGTCCATGTGCTTTTTGTTCTAAGTGCATTCTAGCTTGGTTAATTGGTGTCTCCAAGTTGTTCCTGCATGCTTGTGATGTGTGTGTACCTCACGATGCATTGCTCTCAAGGTTTTAGTCCCATTTTGCACCTGCTTTCTGCTTCCAGGAAAGGCTGCTGATCACCGCAGCTCTAAGAATAAGCGACTTTCTGATAGTGGATGGGTGCAAGGAGAGTAGACGCTTTCCAGATATGCCTGGAATTATTTTATATAGATGGAAGGATTGTATTTTGTACTGATTGCACTTCAGGCTTGTTAGCTATTTGTTGTTTATGTAAGTGTATGTACTGTAATTGATCTAGTAAGTGCTCTTAAATTATTATTCCGACTGCAGCTGACAGCCGTTAGGAATTAAGTAAGTAAGCAGTCTAATCTCCGGACTGCAGCTGGTTTCTTCTAGGTTTGATAGCTACCCCTTGATTAAATTCGACAGTCACACATGCTATGAATTTTGCATTTAACTAATTTTGATAGAAAAAACATGTTTCTGTGGATCAATCAGAAAAGACGCTCACTCAGGGTGCTCGTTGAGCACAAAATGTCGAGGCAGGCCTGAGATTCGTTGGTCAGCTCTCTCTTGGCACACAGTGATTCCGGCACCTTGCCTGCAGGCTTGCAGTGTTGCCAGCGGGAGGTGCAGAACTCCTCCAGTCCGTACAAACTCTCGTGCCAGGTATTGTCAGAAAATCAAGCTCTACTCCTGTCAAGGCATGGCCACCGGCCTCATTCTCTCCCAAGAGGTCTGGGGTTCATTGCCAGACAGTCAAGTCTTGAAATCGGTGGTTGGTGTGCAATAAAACATGAAGGGCACACCTAGGACTGCTACCTCACCACTCGGGACTCCTGGATTTCATTCTGGCCTCAGGCTTCTTGGAGTGGAGGTTTTAGGGTCTTCCCATGTTTACACGTGTGTTTCCTCCCACCTTCGAAAGACGTGTTTTGGCCACCCTGGATTGTTTGGTTGAAAAGCTCCAACTTTTTGCAGATTTGCAGATGATGGATGAGTGAAATTGGCAATTTCAAGTTGTGAAGACCATTTTGGTTGAGATTCAGAGCTCCTGAAATACATTGACTTTTCATTCATTTATGAAATCCCATTTTAAAAGATGAACTTCTTTCTTGACCTGTGTCTAAATATTTGAGTGTTTTAGAATTGTTTTACAATGAATACATTGCTGTGATGTCTATTTAAATTCAGTTCAAAAAGCCATGCATGGTGATAATGGGACTATTTCATATTTTGAAAGCTGGTTATTCATTTTGGAAATCAAGATCGGTCTCATGAAATTAATGTAAAATTGTACAAACATTATTCTGAGTACAGTGGTCCTGAGTATTTCATCTACTGTATGTATGCTTCCCAAGCCTGCATACCTTTGCATTCCTAGTGTATACATTCAATGATGAATTGTTTTCACGTGATAAAGTGTCAGTTTTATAATGTAGTTTTAAAACATGCATGTGCTTTTTTTCTTATTCAGGCTTTCAAGACTCAGGATGGTTACATAATTGTGGCTGCAGGTAACAACCACCAGTTTGTAAAAGTGTGCAAGGTAAGATGTTCTTCCTTCCTTTGTTCACTGAGTACTGTTGTTAAATACAGTCTGGCTACAGTATACCATTAAACCAGTCTTCTGGAAATCTTTTAAATAGTATTTACTCATAGACAATAATTTTATATACTTATGTAAAGAAAAAGAGAAGAGCTTTCCAGATGACAATGGTACAAATGGTGCATAGAATTATTTTTTTTATATTTTAATGGGTTTAATTGACTGCTATGTCTTGCGCAATGGAAAACTCCATCCTCTGCCTTGTACAAGAAGCTGCTAAAACGATTCCAAAGATTTTATTCTCCTTAACTAATTAAACAAGTGAACAAAAACGCACACATATTATTTATTTTACTAGCATTTTTTCTTATTTCTGTTATTTCCAACATATCATATAACAGGTACTTACCTGATTTTCTTTTGACTTTCCTTTGGGGCACTTCCTATGTTAACTATTTCAACAGAAATGTTTTAAAAATTTGTAGGAATTATGAAGAGACATTTGTTAAAAAGGTTAGAAAAAAATAGAAAAAATGAACTGGAAATGTATTTGTATCGCTGTACCAATGGAACCACTGGCTCTTGCCTGTACCAGTGTTCTTTCCCTGGGCTGTTCTAAGCAGTGGCTGAAACTAGTAAGAGATTAAAACCAGGCAAGTGTGAATGCTGCTACTTTAAGTATGCTTGACTTTCTACAGTAGCAACACGAGGAGGAAAAGACTGGACCACTAAACTCCTTGGATTATGATTTCATCACTTTGTTAAACGTTTCCTGTAGAGGTCCCACTGTTTTGAAAGCCTGTACCTCCCCTGTTGCTTTCTATGCTTTCTATGAAAGAAAACAGGAATCTATGCTGCAATTTTAATGAGAATCAAATATGCTCCATTATTTCCACTGTGCACTATTATCTAAATCTAAGTTCTAAAACAGTTTATTCATTTTTTTAAAAAAATGTAGTTATTTCATAACTCCATTCCCAAAAATGCACATTAGCCTTGCTTAAGTGAACAGTACAAGATAAATAAAACAGATTCTGTCCTGTAAAACAGTGTAATTTCTGCAAGAGGTAGGGTACATCTTTCTGTCAAAAATCAATCTGTTTTAGGGGTACCATAGGATTGTATTTGTAGAGGAAACATGGGAGTGTGGTAGGACTTTGAAACAGTAGACTTTCAATTGTCTGCACAGACATAGATGGTTTTATTTAAATATGGAAATACAGAGCAGTGTATTTCCTCAGTCTGGTTTATGATTGAGATGTATCCTTCCTATTGTGCCTTTTTATGTAGGAACTCAATTCCAAAGCAGGAACTGCCGGCAGGCCTCTGTATATTTAAAACATATATAGCCATCAGTAGTCTGAGTCCCAGACAATCCTTCATTGATAGTCCCATGAGCTTGTCTTATTTCGTCCCGTGCTTCTCTGACTCACTAACATACCCTTCTTACAGTTTCAATTGTCTCGGAGTGTCAGCCAAACTGTAAAAGTTGTCTTTACCTTAAAGCGAGGCATGGTGCCTCCATGTTAAACTAACATTTCAGCTTGCATAGCTGTCCATATGCCAGAGCGTTTTTAGTCAAACCTGACAACGAAAGTGTAGAATACATTACTCAAATCTTATTTTCAAAATAAAATTTAAAAATAGACCAAAGTTAGTATAGTGTATCTTAGAACTGGGAATTGAATACAGTAAATCTCCTGCCAAAATTAAAAAAATGCAGATTTTCAGATTTTAAATTCAGTTAATTTCACTTAGGATTTACAACATATATAAATGTAGAGTGCCTGTTTTTTTTTAAATAATACAATTAAAGTTCAAAGTGTTTAATATGCAGATAACATATGTATATATATACAGTACCTGAACTGTAGACATAGGATAGGAAGCACAGAGCTTGATAAGGTTACTAATGTAGAAGACAGCATAATTATCCTTCTCTAGACAATATCGGGAAGCAATAAAATCCTTTTAAGTGAAAATACTACAGAATGAATTAATGTATTAATAATGTGAAATAATGTATTAATTACATTTCAATTAACATATTGGGTGCATGTTTGGTAACCAAATCACAGAATATACATTTCTACACTTTAATCAATCTAAAGAAAATTAGCAAGTCTAAAATGTCCTAAATTGATAGGTTAAAAGTGCATAAGTATAAACTAAGGTGAAGTACAGTTAAGAAAAAAAATAAAATGCATAAAGGATTGTGGGAGTGTGAAACACAGTGTCCTGTCACAGTGTTAAAGTTGCTATCAGTTCAATCACTTTCTAGAACTAAATCAAGCAAGATGAGCTCAGTGGAATAAGCGTTTCTAGTATTTAAGTTGGGTCTTATGCCCTTTTTATTTGTACTGTAAATGTTTTATGTTCTTAATCCTGGTTTGCAGATTCTAAATCTTCAGAATTTGGCTGAGGACCCAAAATATAAAACCAACAATCTGCGAGTTCAGAACAGAAGAGAACTCCTCAAGATTTTGTCTGAAAGGTAGGAATTTGTTTACAACACTGATTTTATATGAGGAACAAAGCTCGCATCTGTTGCAATGTTAGGAATTTCTCAATCTCAGTTAATTAAATTGATGAGTGTGGCCTTATGTTTTTTGTGTGTAATCTGTCAAGACAAGGCCAGTAACTATGAGCGCCAAACTGTTTTTACTTCATAAAACCTTCATTTTGTATGTTGACAAAACAGAAAAACACCCAAATCAATTGCTCTGTATTCTCTGACAATATTCGCTGCATACAGTATAGTGTGATAAATTAATCCTAGTTGTTTTAATAATTTGTGCAGTTTTTATTTTAACTAAAGCAAGTTTTTTCCAAGTTTGTTAAGCAAGTGTATGTGGATAATGGAAACTCATTCTTATGTATTGTTTCCAAACAGAATATCTGAGCTATATTTGTTGTTATCTGAGTTTTAATCAAATAACAACAATTTGATTAAGCAATGTCATATATAGCCTTAAAGGACTTAGGTTAAAGGTTGAAACGACTAAAAGTAAGGTCAAACTATACATCAACAATGTGGGGTCTCGCTAAGAAATGTTGTGTCCAAAAATGGCTCACATTGTGTTATGCAGCATCTGTTGTTATGTACAGTATTTGTCCCAAGGGTCCTAGGCCTGTGCTTTATATCCAAGAGCAGTATACTTATCAAATAAAGTATCCTGAAGGTCACATTTAAAGCATTTCCATTTAAGTAAATGGTGAAAATCATATTAATTATAAATTACTTCCCAGCTTTGTCTGGCTAAGGCATGTTTCTGTCTGAACTGTAGAATGCCTGTATAATGTAAGTGTAGTGTATTTTGTGGGGAATGGAGAACTTTAGTGATGTGTACAAGCCGCTCTATTTTGAGAGCTGTTGCAGGATAATTCTTAGAAAACATAATGGGTCACACTCTGGGAATCACAGTTTAAAATCAATAAAACAGAGGCACAGGTTAGCAGTGTCACTTCGTGTAGAGGTTGACCATAATAACAAGATTAGCAGAAGAGATCACACTGTAATACCATTTGTTTTTTTATTGTTTATATTTTGAACACACTCAGAAACTTTGGAACTTAGGATATAAATGAAAAAATGCTCGTTAAAAGCATTTCTACTGAATATATGATGTTTAAAAAAATGAAGACTTGATATCAGAACAAGGAAGCTGTGTTCTTGTAATCATATGCATTCAAGCTTTACTTCTGCTTGGTAACTAAAAAAAAAGTAGCAAAAGACCAGATTATTTTCTGTGTAGCAACAGAAAACATCTTGTAGTTACCATGAACGCAAATGTGCTGCGAGCTCATGAGAGCAGAGATATTTCCTCTAATAATCCTGAAAATCTTTATTAAAAAAAAAGCTTAAGGAATATCTTGTGTTCATACTTAAGGGATGTTTTTCAGGTAGTTCTCCAAAATTCCAAGCACATTTCTTTAAATAATTGCTTCTGGAAACTGCCAGTTGGTGTAATCAGAGAATATATATGCTTCTAATCAATACAACTACTTGTAAAGCACTTTTATTAGAGTGAGAATTTAAAGGCACCCCTAGCAAAACAATAAAACAGAAGGATGCTTCAGTCTTTTCTGTAAAAATGCAGGTGAAGAAGGTTATTGTGAAATTGCAAAGAGCAGATGATCATTCCTAACACCTTGACAGTTTTGGGTTAGAACCTGGAAAAAATAATAGCACTGTGATTTGGTTTTAAACCTTGTTCTTTGCTTCAGGAGAGGATCTGGTGCTTCCAAGAAACACATGTGCATTGCGTTTTGGATGTTATTGACTGCTGGAATGTAACCAGCTTGGCCCTGTACATCTTTTAAAACCATAACACACAGTTCAGACCACAAGACTTTGTTTGTTCCTAGATTCTCAGAAAAGAAGACTGCCGAGTGGTTACAAATGTTTGAAGGCACTGGTGTGCCCTACGGCCCAATCAACAGCATACAGCAAGTGTTTTCTGATCCTCAGGTCAGTCTCTGGTTTTGGTTTACACTAAATCTCTTATGTGTTTATTTGGCAAAGATAGGTTCAGTGAGATTTGTAACCTTTTGAAGCTTTTTGTTATTTTGAAGTATCATCAGAAGGTTCCAAAATCCTTTTGTCTGTCCAGTTATTCACAGTTCCCATGGAACAGACATTCTTCCCCAAATCATTTACTGCTAAACTTTTCAACTGCTTCATAGATAAAGTCTTGGAATTGAGTCACTCCTTTTTTTCTGAAGGAGATTATAAGGCTCACTGACTTCACTTCAACATTAATGCTTATTCGCAACACAGAAAATATATTTTAAAATAATCCTGAACAACATCACGTTTGGGCGACACAGTGACGCAGTGGTTAGCATTGCTGCCTCTCAGCTCTGGGGTGCTGGGTTCAGTTCTTGACCTGGGACGCTGTCAGTGTGGAGTTTGTATGTTCTTCCCACGTTTGTGTTGGTGCCCTCCTTGCGCTCTGGTTTCTTCCAAAGACATACTTTTTGCTTAATTAGTTTCTTGGAGTGTGTAACTGGCACTGGTGTGAGTGTGTGTTTGAGTCTGTGTGTGCCTTTCGATGGAGTGGCATCCCGTCCAGGGTGTATCCTGCCTTGTGCCTGTGGATGGATGACATCAAAGTTCAGATTTTGAATTGCAAAACACATAAAATGAATGGTGCTGCTCTGCCTCTCTGCTGACATCAACTTAAGATCAGGTGCTTACAGGATGTAAATCTTCTGGGAATTTTGTGGATAAACATACATATTCATTTCTATTTATAGTCTTTCTAGGCTCATTATACTGCAGTGTTTTCCATTTTTTCAGTGTTTTTTATTTCTAGAAGAGAGCAAATGGAAAATATCATAAATCATGGAATCACTTCTTAAATAAGTTTTAAAACAAGTTCAGATGATACACAGGACTACTGACTTCACATTTGGAAGGCTAACTATTTTTTATTTATTTTAACTACTTTTACTCTTTACTTTTATTTTTAACTAATTATTTACAGGCTAACTTTACATCAGCGATTTGCTGTAAATATCATCCTATTTGTAATAGATTTCCATCTGAAATAACAAATACTTACAGTATATTAGATTTTTAATCCATAGTGTCATTTATACACATACTGTATAAAGAAATACAGCTTCTTAACTTCTTATTCAGAATACTGTATGCTCCTTAAGGCATTATTATAAGATTAACCATGATTTACCCATAGTAAATAGGATTGTTGCATAACATACTTTAGTTACAATCCTGATGGTGTTAAAGTTACAAAATAGGTAGGTTATTCAGTCTTGCTATATATAGAGTATTAATCTAGCCCAAGCCTAGACGAAGAAATTATAAACATTAATGTTATATTAACAATAAATGAACCAACACACAACAATAATGTTTAGATGTCAGTATCATAAAAACAAATACTGTATGTGTAATTCTACAAGCTCCAAAGTTTTCTGTGTTTTACTGACATAGAACACCAAGAAATCTTCCCCTATGATCTGTGGATTCTGCAATGAAGGACAAACATAATTTCTAAATAAATAAGACAGTAAGTCTCAGAAGAAGGCTCAAAATGCGGACATCTTTGAAATTCTGATAACCTGGACAGAATTGGGTTTCAAGTCAGAATAAGGCACTCCTGGCACAAGCTTTTGATGGATGATAATGTTGTCTGTTCTTGTGTTTTTCTTTCCTTGTTTGTTGTCTTGCTGTATTTACTGTTTCTTGTTCTATAACCCATAACATAGTTAGGCTGGTCCAATGACCTTACTGTGAATGTTCTGGCAATTGTTGAATATTTAAGCTTTTATTTAAGCTGTTATGTGGCTGATTTAATTATTTTTATGGTGAGTTAGTTTCCTCTCACTCCTTTCGTCATCTGTGTCTTCCTTTATGTGCACTTGCCTCTTGCCCCAAGGACAGAAGCATCAATACAGGAAACCAATACCCATTGTCTCAAACCTTAAAGAATAAGGCACTCAATCTGGGAAGTGCAAACAACCTAATGCCATTTGAAACTCAGCTGCTCCCATTAACTGCAACAATACCACAGTAACCATGTTTTACTGTATATCCATAATGCTGCAGAATAAACGTTGATATTGTAGCGGCGAGGCTTATTAATAAGAAAGAATTAAGTGTTCTGAGCTTTCCCAAATGAGGCCTCATCTCTCTGTTCATCTCTGTGGCGCAGCCACAGAGAAACTATTCATGCAGGCTGATTTAAAGATGTTTTCTTTTGATAAGGGACAGCTCCCAAAGGGGGATGCACTTAGCTAAGCCTGGCTATCATGATCAGTGGTCATCCATTGGCGCCTATCTGTCTAGGGAGTGCCAGATGGACATCTGGACTGCATTCCTAAGTGTCAGGAGTAAGTGACTCATATCTCACCTTGATCAACCAATCAGGGACTGGTAGGGCCGAGTAACCCACGTGGGACTCTGATGCCCATGGAACTTTCAGCCAATGAACGAGCTGAAGTTCCTCTAGGTAAAAACAGGCAACACAGAGGGCCTGAGAGAATTCAGAGAATTCTGTGGACTTTTCTAAAGGGAATTCAAAGGAGAATTCCAGGGCAGGACGGCCCAGGAGCAGCGCGCCTTCTGACCATCCTGAGACTCAGCCCGGACAACCACAGAACGGCCAGTGTGTCCGAGTGCCAGAACTTTCCTTTGTTCTAAGAGTCTAGTGCGGAGGTTGCCAGAGAGTAACCAGAGGATCCACCCGAGGTTAGCACCAGCAGCAGGCCTCGTGAACAGGTCAGAACTGTGGACAGCTGAATCACTATTCAGAACTAGCTCTTCATCAGGAACGAAGCGGTCCTCTTCCTGACTTGCTGGGACCCACAGTCATCTTTTCTCCTGTGCGCAAACTTTGCTAGTTAAAGCCAACACTAACTAGCTGGTCAGTGAGCATCTGCAGCGCACCGTCGCAAACCGCACAGCACAGCCTGGCACCAAGCCAGAGAGCGCGGATTGGGCAGCAACAAGCCTGCAACTGTTTCTTTGTGCCCGCAGGAGATCTGAATCCCCAGAGACTGGATGACTATTCAACTTCAATGCATTACAGCTCGAGAATTCAATTGTTATCCCAACCAGTTGATATCAATTTAATTCCTAAGAGTTATGTACTTGTTCTGAGTATCTAATGTAGAAGTTATAACCAAGTTCATTTATGAAACGGTCTTAATGAATGATATACTGAACGTATGTCCTCTTGATATGTGTAACACTTTGTAACTGACTGAATATATACCTTTTGTATTCTGATAACCCTCTCGATAAGATCTTTTAGGTTTATATGCATGTTCTATGTATTAATAAATATATCCTCGTGTATTAGTACCTGTGTGTGTGCGTTGAGTTATATCGCATGGTTGGATTCTAAAGCCATCAAAAGAATCAATTTTGTGCTTTACTGCTACAATTAATAATTGTCCCAGTAAATGCCCAAACCCTACAGAACTGGTGCCTTCAGAGAGCACACTACAATATAATTCATTTATGTGTGGAAAGCAAACGGTTGGCTCTGGTAGTGATAAGGTCTTATTTGACTGACTACAGAAGGGTGTGAAATTCTCAAACAATAGGACATCAGAATGTACACTTTGACTTTGTGCTGGTGTTTAAAATAGTACAAGATCATGTACAGTATTCCCCTTTACCTTCTGTGTTTAATATTGATGTGTCCCTGTCCTAGTCACAGCATTTATTGTGATGCAAGAGTTTTGCCAGGGCTGTTCTTGGATTATAAAAACATTGTAAGTGAGCTTTCTGGATGTCAAAATTCTGTTAAACTTACTTCAACACTACACTGAACAGTGCTGTGACTTTGTGCATCCATAAACTGCGCCTTTGTTATTATAAGGTTATCCACATGTTGCAAATATTGCCATAAAGCTTTCCAGCAGGTCTAGCACAAGTCCATTACTTAGATGGAGTCTATTCTTAGTTTTAAAGAGTGATAATTTGAATTGTATATTTTATATAAACAGAAACAGTCTAAACCCAATGGGGGCCATTTAGAGCAGTCAGAGATGCCCCTGTAATTTTCTTCCTTCCTCAATGACTTACAGTATCTGAAACACAACAATTTGGTTTAGCGGTCTTTTAGAAGAAGGCATTCCAGTCAAATAATTAAAATATACTGTATGTACTGTACCTTTCTTTCTTGTGGAGGTTACAGGAATGACAACAGCATTCTTACAGTGGCATACGGGCAGCAGGAGATCACTTTATTAGCCATATACAATTTCTTGCATTAGGAATTTGTCTTTTCACATACCCCAGCTTGCTCTCCATGAGACACACAGGCACACAGACAGAGAAAGAGAAGCTTATGGTTAGAGCACAGGGTCAGCCATTTATACAGCGTCCCTGGAGCAGCTGGGGTTAAGTCAGGGGCCCAACAGAGTAGGATTCCTCTGCCGGCTGTGGGATTTGAACCAGCAACCTTCCTGCCACAGGCACAGATCCTTTCGGCAAACTGAGCGCAGAAACAAAAGCTTCACCTCCGTTAACTCTCTCCTTGCTCTTTTATAGATTTAAGCCATGCCCCTTTCCACAAACCATCCACTTTTAAAGCTATATTTCCTCAACACCTGAAGTATCACAAAAATACTTTAGCATAACAGTATAGGGGATTTACAACACTGGCTGTTTATTGAGAATAGAATGTTGTATTATTTTACTTCACCTTCACCAAGGATAATAATTTACACATGGAAGAGCATCTCACAACTTTCACGTTCATGCCTATTATTAAAAAACTTTGTGACATCATTGTTAGTATGTAAATATTTATGATTATTAACAGTTGTTCAGAGAAGCAACTTAAACATGAAATTTAAAATGGAATTAATATTACTTTAGAGTAAGCAAGTGCATCAGCATGCAGGCTGCAAAGGATCAGTTAGACATTAATTTCATGCTTAAAAAGGAAAATAAATAAAAAACAATGTTCTTCAGCTTTACTCCACACA